TGATTAAAATAAAGCTTTTCACTTTTATTTCTTTCATTGGTCCGTGAGCCACATTCTGTGGGAAGCCGCCATTTTGTATTTCACGAAGTGGTTTTAATTTTTTGGAATGTATCTTTGTTCACTGGTTCAAGTTAATCCATTTTTTTAACCAGTAAGTAGGGAAAAAAATTCTTTAATATTAGAATTAAATAATGTTATAATTGAACTAAAAAAATTGATCTAAGGTAATTGTCAATTTTAAAAGTCAGACATCTCGATATTATACCTACACTTACTTAAGGCATTTTACGCTAAAACAGGTAAGTCATCTATTACGTTTATGATATTTAACAATGGTTTTTGTATTGTACAGAGTACAGTTGTTTTGTTTTTCAACATTCTCACGAATTTAAGAACTAACATTTTCGAGACTTTTATGAGCTATATCTTAATAGTTACAGAAGTTTTGCAAACAAACACACTGCCCAACGGATTAAACTTTCAATTCACATAAGCTCAAAAAGAAAAAACTTTATAACACAAAAAACTCAAATTAAATCTTTATAACACAAAAAAATTATAAATCATATAGAAAAAACCATAAATTGCTATAGATTTATTCTACCCCAGGTTAGAAAATCTACTAAAGGTTCTAAATAAAATATTTAAACAGTCATAACTTTAAAATATAGACTTTAAAAAGGTTATTTTTCTCGTATGCCGTGATTGTGATGTAGGAAAAATTTTTTTGTTTAGTCAGGCGGACCATTTCTTGATTTTTTCAATAATATAAAGATATAGAAGAAATTGTTTAGGTGATAATTAAGTTCAGTTGATCTTAACAATTAAAATATACATAAAACTTTATGGAGCTTATTAACAATCAATTACTTATTAGACTAGACATATTAACAAACAATTATTTTGCATACATTTGGGAGAAATTTTAGAATAATTTTTCAAAAATTTTTAAAACTTGACTTGTGTTGCAAGTTGATTTAATTAAGGTACAAGAGTATACTTTCCGGTAGAGGAGACGCTGTCGATTTAAGATACCGTGATTTCAATTATGCGCTATTATATTCCAAAAAATCTAGTCAAATTGTACTTTTCCTAAATGCGTTCTATACTTAGTGGATCGTAAAAAAAAAGTAAATCGGGTATCTCACGCATGTCATATAAATGTTGCCAGAAATAACCAATTAAATAAACTAGCATATATTTTCGGCAAAAAAGTGCTGGCTATTATATTTTATTCCTAAAATGTTTTTAATGATGTGTACCGTTTGTTAAAAGTTAACATTTGCACAGAACTTTGAATTGAAATTTTCAAACAAACATCAAAGTATATACGAGTATTATTATTGTAAAAACTGTATTCCAAAATGTATCAAAAGCTTTAGCATTTTTTTTACAATGTGAAGGTATTGAAGCTCTTAAACGGCATTAGTACCGTACTTAAACTTTTTATAAAGCATTATTGAAGTAACGGATAATCGCTTAATTTGAAATTAAATTAAATGGCCTAACATTTGTTTTTAGTTTTTTATGATAGATAATATGTTGTTACTGACCTACATATGTATGTATGTATGAAGAACTAACAAATTTTTTTTTTGTTTAGACACAATAGTGTGTCAAAAACTTACATTTTGAAAACAACAAAAAGAGCTTTAACTTGGAAGGAATGCTGCACATGGAAAAATTTTCCAAGATCTATTTGTGCAAAAAATTAAATTTCCTCATTTTGAACGGTGTTAATAAACGGATAGGTAGATAGATGAATCGTAGGCCGGACTGAATATTAATGATAATTTTTCCGTTAGAATAAAATTTTGTTTACCATATCATTTTCATAACAAAATTTTGTACAATTATTAGGCTAAGACTAATAATTTTGAAGTTAAATTGAACCAAAATAGCACATAAAAATGATGACTTAATAGTAGTTTTGCCCCAGTGAAAAACTTCGAGGTTAATAAAAACACGCTCAAATGTCACATATCATAAATAGTATACTCTTTTATAGCATTTAAATAACATGTTTTTAAAAAGGTTTCTTATATGTGCACAAGTTTAGACAATTTGCAAGCTGTAAATATCTCTGAGCTTTTGTTTGCATTCATAAATACACAAACACAAATTCATTTTCAATGTACTTCTACCACTTGTATACTCGCTCCAAATAGCATAATATTATATTTTTTTTTTGTTTTGAAATTAAATTATATAGTACATTTAGGAATGAATGGTAAAATCTATTGAAACGATTTATGTATAGGGCAGCTAATTACATTTTTAAGATCAAAAGCAAACAAAAAAATTGCTGACTGATTATCAAAATTTCTTTGAAACCTCATTGCTGTTTTTATATTGATATGTCCTTCTTTCTTTGACCTCTGTTTCAGTAAGTGAGGCGTTTGCTTCAAGATATGTATGTCTATGTTTTTGCTCGACAACAATGCTACTCAACGGATGGAGAAGAACTTATGTGTTTCTTAATTTCATCTACTGTTTTTGGGAGAATTTTTGTTATAGATTTTGATATCCTTTCGTTTCTAGCTGCCATACCAGTTAAATCATCTTTTTTTATATGCAATATATGTATACGGGGCTTTGTGAAATTGATAAAGTGGCAAAGTTCGAAGATGCCAAAAAAATACCCGAAAAGAAGTTTCGTCGAGATTTACATATTTTTTTTGTTTTGCGGATAGTTCCGCATCAACTAGTCAGTTTTCCATTTCGATTTAAGTTACAATATTTTTCAAAAATTTTTTTTGCACTCAATATCTCCAGAATCCAATCGGCCATCTTGCCATAAAACAACAATTTATTCTTCATATTTTATGCTTAGTCAATAATAATACTTAAAATTAAATACATGCTTACTTCATTTTTCTGCTTTATATACTTATGTATATATTTTTAACTATTATACTCGTAATTGCTGAAATTTATAATTTATGTGAAGTTCATAATTTACGAATTTCAGCAATTAATGTAGTTAATAATCACTTTATTTATGTTAAAAATATATTTTCCCGCCAATTTGTATCTCACTAGAATTCTATGCGACACCGTAAAAGAGAAAAATAAAATCTTATCTATATTATTCAAACAACAAAGTTCTATCAAAATTTTTTTCTTATATTATTTTGGCTACAAAGTTTTATGTGGTTCTTATAACCTTGTTTAATGAATCATTTTTCAAAATGAATTCAAACCGCTATCTACAAAATATATAGATAGCGATTTGAAGTTGCGGTTTTTGGCAAAATGGAGAAAAATAGAAGAATTTGGGCAACCCCAATTGAAAGAGTGAGCTTAAATTATAAAATTATCACTAAAATCAAATTTTTTTTAAAAATGTTACTTAGAACTATGTTGCTCTAAGGTCGCAACATTTCATTATGTGGAAGTTGATGTGTTAATTAGCATAGAAATAATTCACTACCCAATAGCAGAGACGTTTTCGTTTTTTATTTGTTGTGTCTAGTATGACAAAAAAAATATTTAGTATATTCATGTATACATATAAAATTTGTGAACTTGAGTTCAGTTCAAAAATATAAATTTTTTGAAATCGAGTTAATTTGCTTGTTAAAAAAAACTCAAAATCGATTTTTATTATTAGATGTTTCCTATACATATGAACATATATATTGCGCATAAATATCTTATCTTATGGCTAATCGAAAATGAAAGATTATTAGCAAGAAGGCGATGAATAAAAATTTTTTTTATTATTATAAAAACAAGCCAAGAGCTCGGTTGACAAACTAATAAAATAGTATTCTCAGTTTTAAGTAAGAACTAATTTAGTTCTGCGAAAAAGTTCTGCGAAATGTAAGTTCTTCTAGTTTTCTCTAAGAGAAACTCAGTGTAAGGAGAATTTGGCAATAATATTGTCATAAAATAGATTGAAGAACAAAAACTATATTAGTTTTGGAAACATAAATCTATAAGTGAAAATATTGAATTTTATTTGAGAGGTATTTGCTGTGTATTAAATATTATTCATATACTTATGCATTGTAAAATACAGATTCTTTAATTGGCACTCTCCTTACATAAGCTTGTAAGTTAAAATATATGTATGTATGTAAATATGAAGATCTTTATGTGTACATGTTTTTATTGTTACTCTGTTCATTCACAATTTAAAAAATACTGAAATTAAAATTTTTTTTCTGTGGACGTAGATATGTAAACTTAGTAAATATTTCTAAGTTCAATAATATTAGACAATATTTTATGATGGCATTTATACATATATTTATACGTATGTATGTATCACATACACAATTACAAAATGAAAAGCAACAAAATATATGTACCGTATATGTAATTAATAAGATACCATTATATGGAAAGTATATACATATGTACATAAAAGTAAAGAAAAAAGTCGCGATCGTGAGACTTACAAGTCAATCGCTTTTTTTCGTGTTTTTTATTTTCTTTTTTTTTGTTTCTACAAGTAGTTTACATAGTGATATTTCTTTGCACCCCAAAAAGTCACAGGCTAATACAATCCTTACTACAATAAAAAAAAAAAAAAAAACAACTGTAAAAGAAATCAAGAAAAAAGTGGAATAAGAAGAAAAAAACGAAAAGATTGAGCACTTTGAATATGAAGAAACTATACGAAATTAAAAGCAAAACGATGAAAGCATTAACTGACTGAACTTATGAGTTTAGAGTTTTGCCTTTTCTTTCCTAAAAAAATCATTTTGATAAAACAGTTTAAACGGAGAACTCTTGAGATTTAGAATATCAATACCGCCGCTTTAGATTATTGTAACATTTTTAATTTGTTGTTTGAAATTTTGAATTTTTAAAAATTTGAATAAAGTTTAAAGAAGGTGGGTGCTTCAATTGATTTTTTTTTTGTTAATATTCATAAAGAATATTTTTTTTGGGATTTATACATATGTTTATTTTAAAAAATCTATAACGAAAGTATTGAACCTTCTTAATTTAAAGTTTTAATAATTAACAATTTATTTAAAAATTTAGTTTTTAATAAATTTCAAACATGACTTTATGTCGGCCAACTTAATTTTCATATTTATTAAACAAAAAATAATTGGAAAATATTGTAAAAAATGAGTGAAAATATCATAGCGAAAAAAGAGCCAAAACCAGTTGAAACATTAATTCTCGCTAATTGTGGAGCTAAAAAAGATTGTAAAAATAATAAATCAAAAAAGGATTTACCAATTTTAAAGAAAGAAGATGAAAAAATTATAACGAAAGTTATGACTATTATTGAAGGCTATGATTGGAATTTGGTGCAGCCAGAAAAAAAGTAAGTGTATATGTATAAATGTCCATTAAATTTTTTTTTGCAAAAAGAAAAACATGTATGCGCATTATTATATATAGAAGGGATCTCAGTATAATGTATCATGATATTTAAGATCTAAAAAAAATACCGTCATTTCAGAATAAAGATTTCTAATATTTATGTAAAAGTTATAGGAATTATTTTTGTTTTTGCCTTGAATTCTCTGTAATTTAAGAAATTATTTTATAAATATATGTACATACATATATAATAATTTTTAATATAATTATAATGTTTTTGACATCGTTGTCGTTCTTAAAATTTTATCTAAAATGGGAATAACATTTGATAACGTAATTAGACTAATCCAATGAGTTACATGTGAGCATCCTGAAAAAGTAGCTATGTTATAAATATACCTCATGCAAAATTGAAGACAAGCTTAACACATAACACGTAAACGAAATGTTGTAAGATACAAGTGATCTTTTAAATCAGATTATGCAATGTTGAGACAAAAACTTAAAAATTATTGTTTTCATTTTGTTATAACATTTGTTTATGTCGACTGCTTTCTATTTGTCAGATTTGAAATCAAAAATTATTGATTAAACTATTTGAAAATTTTATTGAACTTCCCATTATATTTTATATTTTAAATACCTTCCACGTCGTATTCATTAAAAGTTTTTTGCTTAAAAATGAATTCTTTTGCTGATATCATACTAAATGCAAATTTTGTTTTTGAAATTTCAAAAACAACAATATAAGTAAAATTAACAATTATTTTAATTTTATATTTTTTTAATAGTTATTTTTAAGAGTTTTTTTTTTTAAATGTAAACACAAAGCAGACTTAAATAATAAGGGATTCATGATGATATTGCGACAATAACACAAAAAATAAATCGAGTTGGCAGAGAAAATGAATCATTTGATGTGTTTTCCATTCTTAAATATGTTGAGGTAAAGTAAATATCTAACTTAAACTACCCAAGAATTGAGTTCGAGACCTCTGGAATTTGAAGAAAAAAATACTTTTTGTAGTAGAAAAATAAAAGATAAAAAATCTTCTATAATGTTAAAGGTATGCGATTGGTTGCTGTGTAGTTAACAAGGTAAATAAAAAATAAATTTTAAAATAATAATTAGAAAAATCAAAAAAATTGTAACATAATCTGTATAATAATTTCTGATAATACTATAAGATTTCAATTGTATTCGGAATGGGTTTCCTTTAAATATTATATTTTTCGTGCTGGAAAGTTTTTTTTGGTTTTAGTTCTTGTGCAATTATATAATTCGAACAATTTATTTTTTATTAAAAAAATCATGTGCAAAATAATAGAAATAGTCAACAAATGTACATATTTTTTTCGATATTGGCCATTTTTTATGATCAAATTTTTTAAATTTTTTGAGGTCTTTTATGAAAATTTTACTTAAATCCTTCATTTATTAATCCCATAATTGCTTTTAATTAGCTCTACATGAATTAGACGAACGCGGTAACATATTTGAAAATATTTCGGTCAACTTTTTACCTCAAATTTTTTTTCTATAATAGTTATTATCTTTTTTCGAGTTAATTGCTTTATTAATAGAATTTTGATACTTCAAATCTATACACACTTTTTTTGTGAAAATAAAATCATTTTTTTAAAGAAATTTGGCAATGTTTTTCTTAGTGACAGAATTTATCTTCAAAATTTGGTTAAATTTAATTGGCAGTGTTGTAATTTTTCATATTGATTGAACATGTTGATCTGTTAATCTTGATCTTTCAACCGTTTTATAATTTTTTAATATCCAAAGCAATTGTTCACATAAATATGTGCTTCCGATCATTGCTAAAAGACGCTTAATTGGTTTATAGGTAAATAATTATAAAATTTAGTCATTTTCACTTCCCTAAATTTTTCTTTTAATACAGATTCGCACAGCATTTCGATTTCAATTTTTAATTTGCATCAAGAGTTTCAATATCAACAGAAAATGGAACAGTTAATAGATTAAATTCATTTTAGACATCTATTAAAATCTAAAAATTTTTCAAATTCGATTCTTAATAATTTATTCTAATTAGAATATTCAAACAATTTCGAATTTACTTCAGTGGTCTACTTTTTACAAATATGAGAAAATTAAACTAGTTCAAATATGTAAGTACAGAACTAGTTCAAATATATAAGTTTAGACTGTTCTGATTTACAGAACAGTCGCTTTCCAAATCTCGAAACAAATTAAAGTGAAAATTCGGTTTACACTACATTTGACATACAGTTGTGTATATAAGTTTGGTTTTGGATATGTGACAAACCTCCGCAGAATTTTTACTCTGGTTTAAACTCTTTCTTACTAGCCTAAATCAATAATTGTAACAATAATTAATTAAATTAAATTTCACAATTTTTAAAAACTGTAACGAGCCGCTTGATTAAGTGCTTCGGGTCGCGTTTTTGGCATTTCGCCTTTTGTATACTATCATAATACCCAATTTAATTTCTTCACAAATAACTTACGGAAGCTCTTGTAGTTACTGGCCTATCTATGTATTTTATTCTCACTTTATTATCTCACAGTGATCGTAAATTCTTTATTGTTCGTTATCAAACAATATATAAAAATATTGCTTAAGGTATATTTTAAAAGTAAGGTATAATTTTATTAACATGGATAAAAATATATGGATTCTAAATCTTTAATTTTATAAGGCGCACTTAACATTAAGGTGTTAACAAGTATGACAAGTTACTATTTAATTCTAAAAAAAAACACAAAGTATCTTCTAAGTAATTTTAAAATACTACCCAATGATTTAGTGAGTGTTTCGTCGAAAGGGCTCAAATATTTATGTTACTGATTTTTTTTTGTTTTCACAGTAAGAAATGTCCAACAAAAAATGCTAAGCATTTTGCTTGCGTTGTTAAAACTTAATTAACAGATGTTAGTCATCCGGTCAAGTATAACGCTTTATCAAAAGCTATTTATTTGAATTAAGCAAGTAAATAAAATTTTTTTCGAAAGAAAACTAGTATTTCTGGTTTATAAGAAACTGCTTTTAGAATTAATTTTTGTTGTTCAGGAAACTGCGGAAGGGTTAACTTTGCTTTAAAGATAATCCATATTCGAAAATAATTTTATTTTATTTTAGAAGCATATAACTGTTCTTCTCACACTAAAAATGTAAACCGAAATAAGGAGAGAGAACTCTATAGTAAACAAGTGCAATACTGCATTTAATAGCGATAACTAAAAAACAAATTTTTTAAAAATTCCTAACAGTAGCTTTCGCACGGTCTCTATTTAATATTAAGTCAATCGAAAAATCAACTTGCGAAGTTGCGAATTTTGCAAAAACAATTTAATAACATACTATGTAAGATTGTTTTGACTATGTAAGATTTAAATCAAATTTTCTAAGACTTTTAAATAAAAATTTCTACAATTATAAATTTAAAAAAAACGAATGGGCCGAATAATTTTAATTTGGTTGTGGTTGTATAAATTTCGAGTCGAAACATGTTGAAAACTTTTTTTTTTATAAAAAAAAGGATTCTCATGAAATTTTTATTAAAATTTTTAAAATTGCGAATTATAGGAACTGATGATATAAACGTGAGTAATTATTAAATGTATATGACCGATATACTCTGTACGCAAATATGTGAAAACAAATAGAATGCACAGTATCTAAGTATAAGAAATAAATCATGTTCAAGCTATTTCAGCAGGAAATTTTTTAGATATGATTGTAGTTGAATTAGACATTTATTCCTTTTTGTTTTTCTAAAAGTCTACCGTCATTCTAAGTGGCTATCATTTCAAGACAATATGAACTCAGACAAAAAAGAAACTAAGTTTTTGTTTACTCGGAGTAAACCGCATATATTATATACGTATAATCTTTTTATGCGGGAATCGCGTAAAATTTCGTGGGAGCCATTTACTCTATTTCCTTTTTTTCTTAAATCTTATCATTCCGTATACATATTTATTTTGTTTACCTCGGTTTAATATGCTTTGCTGTTTGAATTGTAATAAATGTATTTGCGATTAGACTTGCTTTTGAACTATTTACGTTAAGTAACGTTAACATCATAGTCACAAAAACACAAAAAGGAAACACAAAAATAAGTTATGAATTTTCTTTTAAGGGAAAAATTTAAAATCATAAGAATAATCATAGTTTATAGTATACATACATATATTTTTCTGTGATAATGTTGATAATGGAGATGGTAATAATTGTTGTGATAGGATAAAAAATAATATTTTGGTTTTTTGTGTGCATACACACAATGTACATATACATGAATATTTTTTTCATAGAACTTCGGTTTCATGTTGATTGTTTATTCACCGCTGAAAAAAGAAAACCAATATTAGTAAAAGGATATCTTTTTAATGCAAAAATCCACCGCTCTCTGAAAAAATTTTTGTGCAAATAAATATGCATACAAACATAATAAAAAATATACTCAACGAAGTATGTTAATTAACTTGTTGGAATTATTAAAACAGCCATACAAAGCAATAAAAAAAATAAGTGAATAAAAATGTCCTTAAAATATAAACGATTTTGGATATACGTAAGTACACTGTGCCTTATTAACTTCTTGAGCGACGTACATTCATAGTCTTAGTTTAAAATTAAATTCCAAATTAATTAAAAGTTTTTTTTCCATAACCTGCAGTTGGAATTATATCTTCTTTTTTAAGACATTTCCAATAAAAATTGAAAAATATATGCCTATTTCACTCTGTCTGTCCGTAATTTTTAGATTGCCAAAATTTGGAGTATGAAGTTTTATGTAAATTTTGGTGTTTTTGCCATTACCAAAGAAAAATCTTTTATAAGCAGTACAAAAAGTAAATAAATGAAAATAAAAAATATATTTAAAATTTTGTATAATGCAATTTAAAAAATTGCCACTTTTATGTAAGATATTTTATATTAGACAAATGGATCTATATATCGGGCGAACGTACAATTAATTATAAGATTAAATATAAGATTA